TAAGCACCAGCAAGGATATCAAAATTAGAATTTTGAGAGCATGCATCTTCCCTGTAGCAACACAGGATGTGAGTCGTAGATTATCTCGCAGTAATCAATAAAGAGAATAGGGGCTTTTGAGCTGAAATTCTATAGAAGATTCTCAGAGTATCTTCGACAAAGAAAAGGAGAAATACCGACATCTTGAAATATCTGAACATCAAGGAAGATTGGCTAATAAACAGTATCCTGTCTCGGAAGCTGAAATATTATTATTTTTCATAACAAGCGCACGACGGATTGGGGAAAAAATATAGCAGAAGGCATGGTACCAGGAAGGAGGGGCAGGGGCCGACCAACACAAAGATGGGCACAGCATATAAGTGACTCCTTGAGTATGAAAGTACATGAGGCCGGTGAGCTGACGAGAGATCGAGTTTGTCTCAGGCAGACCGTGATGATAGCGACTTTCTGCAAAGGACCTGCTACATAATGATGATATCTACAATGTTGTCTCTAGTATGAATGTCACTATCTTTTGTAATTCACTCAGTGACCTGTATAGTTTGGCTTCAACTGATGTTTCTCTTGGCCAGAAGTTTTGCCCTAATTGGTTAGATTTGGTGCCAATCCACATGTGCACATGGCTGATTCGCTAATCTTAAATTTTGTGTAAGAAATGGCTGGAAGATTGATTTGATTGTTCTCTTCTCCTGTTGATAGGCGAATGGTGCGTCAGCGTTGTTCTTCATTTTCACCTTCCTTAGCTAGTTTATCAGCTCTCTTATTTCTGGGAACTCCACAGTGGGACGGTATCCATCAACATAGTAAGTACAATAAAGGACCATTTTCCACACCAGGTGTATAGGGCATATAGGGCTAGACCTATATTTTATAGACAAATCAGTACTTGATGGATGATATGGTCAGCATCACGCTTGTCGCCTTTACTTCCCAGGACTGTACCTGGTACCCACTCAAGGCCGAGTCGACCTGAGAGCTCAGGTCTTTTTTCAAACAGTCCGGCTCCATCAGGCCCTGAACCCACGACCTTCCGATCTGCAGGCGAGCCTCTAGCCGCTACACCACGGCGGCGGCTCTCCCCCAACATACTGGAGCAGTGCTATTACCTTCAGCATGATCTGTGTCATCTCCCTGCCAATGATTTTCAAATGAGAAAGCCACAGGTCCCTATGAAGTCTGCGGCGTTATGCATGTCCTCCACTGATTGATACAGATTGGGTTTCCATATGCATGTCCTCCACTGATTGATACAGATTGGTTTCCATTAACACGCCGATCATCCAAACTTAGCATCTCTCTACTGCACATAGAGAGCACATCTGTAGCATATATTTAATATTCTGTAGAACCTGTCCACATGGGCACTCTATATTATTTCTAAGCTTGTCATCACACTCGGAAGGTACTGCAGGGATCAAATTTCTGCGGCCGTAGACACAGAAGTAAGGGAACTGATAAATCAGCATTCAGACCCAGAAGATATCATCATCTACACAGATGGATCCGTGAAGCGCGGATCAAGGTCAGCATGGGCATACACAGCGCAAAGAGGGGAAACAATACAGAAGGACATCCACACCAAACATGACAATGGAAATAGCCGCTGCTTCTAGAGCTTTAGCATGGGTATCCGAGCAAACCGCCACACAGGCAGTTATTGTATCAGACTCGATCAATATGCTTCAGAAAATAGCAACAGGCGGTATGCGCTCTGCATGGGTAGAAAGCATTCGAAAATGAATGGCCCCTCCTTTCCTTACCCCCTGCAATTTTCTGTCTCCTGCTTTGTCCTACTCTCTTCCAAATGTTGGTGCAATTTAGGTACCACGTCATAATTTGTTACCATTTTATTATTTTTGCTTTTGTAAATGTATATGAAATATTGTAAACCATGATTTCAACCAATAAACGTATTTAAAAACATTCAAGGATGAAATTTGTCGTTATTTGAACCCCTACCCTGGCGCTTGCCAGGGGCCGCTATATAGCCTGGCCATAAATATGGCCTAAAGGCTTAATGCGGTTTCTTGGACCTCTCCACGGTGATCCTCATCCACATGGAGGCACTTTGTGTCATCGGGTGTTTATCGCTTGTGTGATGTCCTGGTGGGATAAAAGAAGATAGAGAAGAAAGGGTTTCTAAATGCTACTACTACAATTAATTCCTAAATAAAGTGTTTTTAAATGAATGTGCTACCATAATCCAGTTTTTTCCTTGTGAGATGCAATTTTATTTGTGTGAAGCCCTAATTTGGCTCTTGCCAGGGGCCGCAATATAGCCAGGCCATAAATATGGCATAATGGCTGAACGTGGTTTCTGGGACCTCTCCACGGTGATCCTCATTCACATGGAGGCACTTTGTGTCATCGGGTGTTTATCGCTTGTGTCATGTCCTGGTGGGGTCGAAAGTCAGTCAGTTCTTAATGCATTACCGGATTGTATTTTTCGAGGGGGGAAGTAGCCAGTGTACCAGCTGCTACGACCCTTATGTTCTGAATAAATAGAAGAGTGCGAATGTCCAAGAAAGTCGGCAAGTCACAGTCGCACAGAAATAAGTAAGCACGAGTAAGCACTTGTGTTTGTCATAGATTTCTAAATCTATCTGGCGTAACATAACCTTCATCATCATCATCATCATCATCATCATCATCATCATCATCATCATCATCATCATCATCATCATCATCATCATCATCATCATCATCATCATCATCAAGTGCCTTGCCGACTGGCGTGAGCGATCATACCTCTCCACAGTTTGCGATCTCCCGCAGCATGTATCAGTTCGTATGCTGACACACCTCCATGCCATGCAGCAAAACTGTCAAGAATCTTCTCTCGTTGTTTTCCTCTATCCTTCCTTCCACAGATTTTTCCATGTTCCATTTTCCCTCTTCTCATACTATGGCCGAAAAATATTGAATGTCTTCTCCTTATATCTGTGACAAGTTGTCTTCGGGCTCCCGCCTCTTTCAAAACCTCTTAGTTGCTCTTTTTGGCTGTCTAAGGTATTCTAAGCATTCTTCTGTAAAACCACATTTATGAGGCCTCAAGAAATTGTTTGGCCTGCCTACTGATTATCCAGGACTCACAGCCATATGTTAAAACCGGATGTATGTAGCAAGCAAGAATTCTTTTTCTAACTCTCAATGACAAGGATATATTGCACAAGATGTTCTTCATTTGATAAAATGCAGTTTTTGCCTGTCCTATTCTGTTTCTTATCTCAGTTATGCATCTTCCATCTGATGTTATCCATGTGCCCAGATACTTACATTTCTGTACTTGTCCCAAAATAACACCATCGACTTTCATTACACATTTAGGAATAATTCGTTTCTTTGATACCACCATTACTTCTGTCTTCCCATTATTTAAACTGAGTCCCATTCTTCCACTTTCCAACACCACAATGTCTATCATTTCTACATATGTTCACCATTCTCCATGTTGGAATATTTATTGTTATTTAAACCTCTTGTAGTGTTCGGGTAGTTGTAGAAGAGTCGCACCATGGAAGAATGTGGGGTCTCGCCACGTAATAATCACAACGACAGCAAACTAATCCAACATTATAAGGTGGTGGTGAGGGGATGGAGGGGGAGGGGGGGGGGGAGGGTCCCAGACCTACAATAATTTGTGTGAAGCAGAAGCTCAACCCCCTCGACCACCTCCCATCTCAAACAATATATAGACGTTCTTTTTTAAGTATTTGTATATACGCATAATATTAGTTGAAATAATGGACTCAAGGAGGTGGTGGCGGTAGTATAATTAGTAGTAGTAGTAGTAACAGTAGTAAGCAGCAGCAGCAGAGGCTACTACAGTAGTAGTAGTAGTAGTAGAAGAAGAAGAAGAAGAAGAAGAAGAAGAAGAAGAAGAAGAAGAAGAAGAAGAAGAAGAAGAAGAAGATGAAGAAGAAAAAAAAGTGTTGAATGTTGAAACAAGAATCGACATCACAGCACTCTGAACACCCCCATAGGCGCTGCGTCCCCATCTTCAGCAGCAACCATTTTCCATTGAACAAGTCTCCTAGTGTAGATATTCTATATCTTGTCTATTGCACTGGTCATTGGATGTTAGAGAGCCCTTTGTCAGCTTGATCATAATGCAGCTCACTGCGTAGAGAAGCGGCGACAGCCAGTCTATCAGTTTCCTCTTTATTCCACACACCATCATCTCTAAGACAGAGCGTGCCGTTTATCATTGAAGGTAAATAACAATCTGTTGTTCAACTATTCTAGTGCCAGGAAGTCGTTACTTTAACGCGTGGTAAGTTATGTATTTTAGAACAACAGTCCTCTGTTGGCAGTGGACTAAAACAGTAGAAACATGGAACATCATACATTAAGGAAGCCAGTGAGGTAGACAAGAGTGAAAGTATTGGGCAAACTTGACAGAAGAAATTAGCCAAAAAGAATAAACTCCACAGGGGAGCATGTACAGTAGGGATCTACCAATCGTCAGCAGAAGTAATATCTCGTCAACAAATGTTTCGGCCCACGAGCTCCTAGACATTCTCAGAGAGTGGGCGCACCTCAGTTCATGAAGCTCAGGGTTGGTTTCCCTGCTGCACGAAATTACCGGATGTTATTCGGATAGGGACAAGACGAATTGGTGATTTTGCAGAAGGTACTGTGAGATAAGAAGACGTCGCGGTAGCATAATTAAAGCAGTCTGCATACCTGAACGACCGAGCGGCAAGCTTACGATTGGTATACCGGACACATGTTGGACCTTTGTTAGCAGGTGGCAGAGGAACACTGGCAGACAATTCGGACACGATGGACTTTCAAGGGACGCCAAAGAATATCAATCACTGAAGTAATAAACAAAGGTGGCTACCTGTCATTCAGGGGGGTTAAAACAAGTCTAAATGAATCAGTCTAAATAACATCTCCTGCTGAAAAAGAAAAAAAAAGTTCACAGAGCATGGCTTGACAAAAGAAACATTGATGTTTTTAATATTATTTTTTTTTTCTAAACGATGAAGGTTTCATTTATTTTGTTCGTCCAAGGTGAACGCTCGGTTCACTGCCCCATTTGTTACAGGCGATGCTTCCTTGTCAGTTTTGGTTAAATTGTAGCTGTTCTTTCCTCCTATGTCATCCCTGTTGAAGAAATAGAACAAACAAGAAAAGTAGTTAACATCACCATCATCATCAAATGCTTTGCCGACTAGCGTGGGCTGTCACGCATCTCTACAGTCTGCGATCATCAACAGCATGGATTAGTTCGTATGCTGTCCCCCCCCCCCCCCCCCCCCCCCCTAGGTCATGACGAGATGTCAACAATCGTCTCGCTTTGTCTCGTTTACCACCGATGTTTCCAGTGGTTACAGCATGTTCCAGTGTCCCCTATTTTCATACCATGACCAAAAAGTGGAAAGTAAAACAAAACAGTGGCACATAAAAAGAAAAAAAATACTCTGTTTACGCCATTGGCACATAGGGTGTATTTTATGGACCAAACGCACTCGACGGGTGATGTGATTAACAACAGACCGGCCGCGTTTATTGCCTGAAACATTTTCTGTTGTCTACTTTGGCTGCAATGAGCATAGAGCAGAGAATGCTTTTCGTACAATATCAGCACAAGATCCTCTCAATGACTGATTATGGACTGGGACTGCTCACTGTCTCAAAGAGTCAGGTAGTTAAACTAGAGCGCATACAGAACCCAGCTATGCTGGTCATTATGGGCTGTGCCAGATACATCACAGTAGTGTGTACACTGTATGCAATACATCCTTGGTTTGCCGACTGTTGCTGGTAGGCTGAAGGTGATGAAGTCAAACCTCAGAGTAGAAACAGACACAGATCACCCTATGCACGAAGCGCATTGTGATTGTTACTGACTGAGAAAGCATGCCGAGAACAGGCATGCTCCGTGCAGAGTGGCATGCTTTGCTACAGAGGTCACGAGTCTGGTTTTGACTCCAGGACATGCCGGTGTTTTACTTAATGAATAGGCGGACATACTGGATGGCACGGCATAACTTGGTTGAATACTGTTGCATGGTAATGTAGAGGTGGTTACGGGTTTATGGAAGCACAGGTACAATTCGTAACATCAAATGGATCATCGCAGTCTGGTGAGAGTGACGCTGCAAGGAGTGACGAGGGGATCTGGTCGATACTCGACGCTCAGAGGAGAGGCGAGACGGATATATAATCAGCCTGCTACTGGTGCCATTGGTATTGGAACTCTGCGTTAGCTGCTGAAGATGGGAACGAAGCACTTATGGAAATGCCCTGTGGGCCATGATGTCAGTTCTTGAATCAACTTAAATCAGCTTTCTGATACCTATTATAAACTAGGTGTCTTCATTTGTTGTTGTTGTTCTACTGCTTGTGCCGCAGAACGTCACATAAAGAGAGTTAGATGTATATTCCTGTCCTTTTTCTAGTTGTATAGTTTGTGCTAATGGTTTGTTTACTGAAAATGTCAAACCTGTAAATTTACAACAATGTGTTTCGAACCTAAGACATCTCAGCCAGTGGCAGCCACAGAAAGTAATTTAATCATACACTAAAAGCCTTAGTTTTCGAAATACTCTGATCACATTAAATGCCTCAGTGGTTTAAACAAAATGAATAGTACCGAAGGAATGGTACCTGGGGAAATGGACAAGTTTGACCACCATGAAAGCTGATGGAGGAGATTATAAACAATACGGGCATAAAAACACATGAAACTGGAAACTGAAAGGAACTGAAAGTATTCGGTCGCTCCACAATGACAGGCACGTTCTGGAAGGGCAAATGATAATGATGAGACTGATGATGTATAATACCTGCCGAACTGTTTTGCATCTTCTACAGTATCAGGGAGCTTTCTGTAGGCAGTCTCTGGTAGTAGAAGTGCCAAGAGACCCGCTGCAATACTGACCACTCCAAAGATGATCAGGGGAAGAGCCACTGCAAAGTCTCCTTCAATTACGTTTCCCTGCAACACACAGACAGCAGCATCTGTGAAATACTGTCACTACCAACAGAATACGCATACTTGAAACAGCTACAGATGTTACATTCTGTCACGTACCAACAGACTTCATCTATCACAAAAAACATTTGTTGCACACGTACATGTACCACAGACTTCACACATCAGAAACAACTTAATATGATACACAATATCACCTACCAACAGACTCTTCATACCAGAAACAATTACATATGTTTCACACTTACATGTACTAACAGACTTCACACACAAGTAACAACTACATTTGTAGCACACTTACATGTACCAACAGACTCTTCATACCAGAAACAATTACATATGTTTCACACTTACATGTACTAACAGACTTCACACACAAGTAACAACTACATTTGTAGCACACTTACATGTACCAACAGACTCTTCATACCAGAAACAATTACATATGTATCACACTTACATGTACCAACAGACTTCACACACCAGAAACAACTACATATGTTACACCCTGACACGTTCAAACAGACTTTACACACCAGAAAAAAATTACACACTGTCACGCATATACAGACTTCACACACCACAAAAAAACTACACATATTTCAGACTGTACCAATAGACTCCACATACCCCAGAAATTGACATTTTGTTTTACACACCAAAACGTACCAGTTTGACTTCTTATACCACAAACAATTAGATATCTTACACAATAACACGTTACCAACAGGTCCTACATGCTGAAAACATCAACATCGGTTACTGACAAACACCAACCAATAGACTTTACACACGACACTAAAATAAAATCACCCTCAAACAATAAAGACTTGACCAGTCTCCTTGTTGCTCATACACTGTAAATATTTAATTGTTAGGAGATTAACTCTGCCGGTTGAGATGTGGTAAATAATGAAGGAGCTTGGAGTTCTGAAACCAATTCAGTCTGTTTCCATTATGCCAGTAATTCACATCTCAGAGTCAGCTTGTTTGTTGGATTTTTTCAGTTTTCGCCAGGGGCAGGCACCAGTCAGCAATCATCATAAACAGATGGTCCAGTGTACGAACCTGCAATGTGCGGCGAGATCCGCAGGCTAGGAAAAGACAGAAAGCCTTTAAAAAAAATGCCAGTGGTTTCTTCTTTCTTGAATCCAATGTTACTCTCGTAATTATGTTCGTAAAACTTATTATTATCATGAGAACATCTCTCCAATTTTGATGCTCACTGCTCTAGCGGGAGCATCTAATTACCACCATACCATCAACATTTTACTGCGTGTTGAAATATTGCGAAATAACAAATTTAATGTAAATGGTTGCTAGTATAATAAACCAGAATATCAAATTGGAGATTATAGTAGCCCAATTTAAACCAGTATTTAACAATAGTAAGGAAAGTTCGGGAACATTTTCCACCCCTATGTCCAAATTAGTGTTTGGTTTATTATTCATTCATCCATTGTCATATTGTGGCAGTATATGACACACAGGGGTCGCAAGTCTATTTCTCAGTTTCCTTCTGTCCTGTACAATCACTTCAATATCATGGACGGAGTCCAGCACCTTTGGCTTCTCTCATCAACCATCGTTTTATGGTTTCTCTTGAGTTTTCTCAGTCCCTAATTTTTTTTAAATTCAGTGTCTGTTTGGTGATCTCTCTCTCTCTCTCTCTCTCTCTCTCTCTCTCTCTATATATATATATATATCCATCTCTCTCTCTATCTCTCTCTCTCTCACAGCAACAAAATTCTACGTACAAGCAAAGTTCTACATAGCAACAAAGTCCTACATAACAATAAACTTCTACATAACAACAACGTTCAACATATCAACAACGATACACATGCAACGGAGTTCTACACAAAAACTGAGGTCTTCAAATCAATGAAAAAAGAATTCTATATAACCACGTAGTTCTATATAATAATAGAATTCTGCATTCAACAGAACTAGTCATAACAAAAGACCTCAAAATATCACTGAAAATACACAACAATAGAAATCTACATTCTCCTTTTCCTCTTCCGATTTAAGTGGCGGTTTGCATGCTGGGTTGTGGTTTAAGAGCCAGGAGGTGATATTTGCCCCTGGCGCTCAGCATCCCAGTTAGGCAATTCCTGCATTAGTCGTATTTTACAACATGATTGTCCAGGAGCGGTGTGTCTATTCTTTGTGTGTGTCCCAGAACAAACACGGGAAGAAATCTACAAAACGAAAACTATGTAACAACAGCACTCAACATAACAAGAGCAATCTGCTGAACACAAGAACCTAATATAACAAATCTCATTAGAAAATTCTTAGGTTATCATGGATCAAGAAGACGAGAAACAGCCACATCCTACATGAGCGATCTTAGCATGGAGACGAACTGGCTCACAGCATCGTGTACCAAAAGCTGAGGTGTTTTGGACATGCCATACATCACGATAGCTTGGAGAAAACCATGATGGAGGGTGTCCCAAAAGTTGAGGAGATGTTTTGGACATGCTATACATCACGATAGCTTGATGAAAACGATCATGGAGCGTGTCCCAAAAGCTGAGAGGTTTTGGCCATGCCATACATCACGATAGCTTGGAGAAAACGATCATGGAGGGTGCAATTTCCGAAAAACGAGAGAGTATTGTGTGCAATCTGAAGATTGACACTAGGACAGACCGCTTAATGAACATGAGATATGACGAGAGACACGACGCCACTTGCCGACAGAAGAATTAGACAGCAGACTGTTACGAGGAATATATGAATGGCAGGGGCTTGTTTTGATATGTTCTTGAGTTGACGCACGCGCGAGAGCAAATGCTCTGAGCTCCATAAGTTATCCTGCCATCGTTAACTACAGTGAGCATAACATATTCTTTTTATGGACACACATTATATATGTGGAGAATTATTAAAAAAAACGTATGGATGTTGCCTGTCAACTACGTGTTCTTGAAAGTAGGAGTATCAATAGCTCTGTATAATACAAGAACTCTAGCAACTATAATTCTACAATAAATCATCACATAATAACTAAAATGTACATTACAAGTGAGCTCTACACGA